ATAAATGTGGGTCAGTCAGAGAACTCTGCCATGGTGGAGCACAGATTTAAGAGGGCGCATCATCGATTTCAGGAGCAGCTCCATGCTGGATAAGGCCACAGGATATACTGATCTCATGATAAAGGAGGCAACTGAGGTCAGACCTCACACCAAAAATTGCAAAAGAGATGGTTTTTCTCTCAATCAATCCTGGCATTAAGATTCATCTCAGGAAAGAAAAAAGGATGTGAGGATCAGAGGGCTTCAGTATTATTAGTGCTGAACCCTTAGGTTCTCCTACTGTAATGTAATTTTGTGTATGATGTTCTGTCATTTGGAGATCTGTAAGCATCGCGTAAATAATATAAAGTTAAACCAGAAGATTATCGGACAAATCAAAAAGATGAGAAGATCAGTACTTAATTTAGAAAGTCTGTAGTTTACGTCTTTGTTTCCGACTGGCCTGACAAAACGCCACAGTGCCCTTTGTAACTTCTGAGCAGCAAGAGTGGAGATACAATACGACATAGACACATCATTATATGACCCAGAAACAGTAACTGTAAAGCCATTAAGAAAGTATTAATTTCATACCCTACAAATCAGTCACCCATTTTTGTGCATTCTTAGTTTGTATCTTTGGTTCAACTCTTTAGGAAGGCCTATTATTCTTAATACTTTCAACGTATATGTCATGTGTGGTACTTTGAACTGAAATTTGTAGAGCAACATTTAAAGGGTTAAAGTTCCATTAAGCTATGTAAGCTCTGGTGACACCTCAATGCAATGAAGACTTCTTGGGCGATCACAGTCAACATTTAGCCTTTACAGACTGTGCCTCCATCATCAGAGGTTAATGTGATGAGTGATGCAATTGATCTTTGTACAAACGCTGCTCTCAGAGTCATATGTCCTTGTCTGAGAGTGCACTAATAGGGAACAGACGATGGAGTGAGGCAGGCAATCATCAAACGGTCCATGTCGCTTAACCTGGACAGTCTGGGATGACAGCTGTCATTGATTTTTCCTTCCATTCTTTGTCTGACTTACTTTGCCAAGTGTGGCAATTAATAGTATAAAATCATGTCACTCATCACATGAACTTCTGATGCTGATGGCACAGACGGTCCCTGGAATATTAATATGTAAATCCATCAATACACAACAAATGTTGCATGTAACAACGCATTCTCTAAAGAGCTGTTTCTATTGTGGCTAGGTATCTGATTTTCTTATTCTGTTGTGTAGTGGCCTAATGTGTTGCTTATATATTCTTGACTTTTATCATAAATGTCACTTTTTACACAACATTTCTTACTATTTTACTATGTTTTGAAGAAAACCAATCATCAGGTTCTCTCTAGTTATACCCACACTATTACACATCACATAATAGCTGCTATAGGTTTGTATTTAGTTGATGAAAACATTGTAGATAAAATACAATAAAATAATCTACTAGTGGTATGTTAAAATCTCTAAAATAATGAATTATAGCACAGTGAAATTCTGTTGTTATGTTGCTGCTGTTTCCTTGTAAATAAGATATGTTTATTATGTTATATCATATAATATTGTGTAATATGAGGTTACATATATGTAACAAACAACACACCAATCCATAGATAAGAAATGCATATCACAATATTATAACAGAACATTGCACTTCTATAACCCATTATTATTCAGATTTTAACACACCGCTAGTGAATTATTTTATTATGTTTTATCCACAACATTATCATCAATAAAATAAGAATGTAATGCACACACCTGTTATTTGCACTGAAGATGTGCAATAGCTTGGGTAAAATCTGAATGACGCTGACTATGACCGTTTTAATTCAAAACACGCTCTTCAGCATTAATGATCATTTGTAAACTTGTGAGAAATTTATGGAAAATTTGACAGTGATAATAATATAAAGATCTTCTTTTACAACATGTTTTGGCTTAACTAACCATCCTCAGGTAGTGACATGAAATACTGTAATATCATTCAGTGAACTGTGATATATTATATATTGAGCATAACAATATAAAAGTATAAGATATAAACCATGCTGAACTATGGTAATATATTTGTTAAAATGTTAAAAATTATAAAATGATATATTCATGTAGTATATAGCCTAGCAGTTCAGCAGTGGGTGCTCCTGCATCATCAATGATTACCACAATATTTATAAAATACCAAGAGCATAATCAGATATTGAAGTTACTAAGTGAACACAGAATCATAGCATATTACAGCTCAAAAGACAGCATTTCATGTCACACAGATTATATACAATAGGTTGTACTGAATTTCAAATACCTCCTGATTGTGAATAATTAAGCTAAAACAAATTGTAAAAAGCAAATATCTGGTATCATTAACAATAATTATTCAAAGTATATACTGTTAATAAATGCATGTGGCATGCAATAAATGTTTGTGTTGGTGGATTTATACATTATCATTCCTTAACATTACCACAAAATTATGCTAAGTACAAATTAGTCCCTGAAATGTTTTGTATTAACCTTCAGAAGCCTATACAATCATAAACTGGTCTTTGAATTGCAGGTATACAAATATAACTGAATATTAAATAGAATGATAAACAGGAAAACTCCAATCTCACCTAGCTCAAGAAGACCTCGTTGCATTGTCCTTAGTTTCTCTGCCCTAACCCATCATGATAGACACCTTCGACTTTTGCCTTCATTCACAATCAGCGGCAACAGAAGATAACTTAAAACACTCTACCTTCCCATCATGTGTTTCGGCATTTTATGCATATCCAATCTGTAATTATATGAATATATCAGAATGCACTGTCTGATCCTTTCATAACCAGATATGACATTACACAAACCATCTACAATTATGTATCATTGTTAAAATGAAGAAAGGCAATTTACATGTTACTCAGCGTTATTACTATCATAGAATCATTCAATCCACAAGACGCAGTTTCATGTACTCAAATGGCAGAGTTTAGCTGTCAGTTATCTTATGTATCAGAGTATGTGCTTACATATCTTACTGAAATAAAGTCTGGTGCTGTATGTTCCATACTGAAGTGCCCAGCAATTGAAATGTGAGTTTATAATCAATTAACTAATGGGGTTAGACGCATTGAACCTCGAAGGTCAAGACTCCTTTAAAATAAATGTCACAACATAACCTAGCCTTGAGGAAGAATTTATCACACTAATTGTTACTGCTTGCAACTAAACTACAGTTCTCTAAAGATATGCATTCTAAAATCTACCAGTAGAAACCATTCAAGAACACAATGAAGAGTCTTCTTACTCAATCAGATGTGACTAGGATTTCATTGGACTTAATCCACTGCAAAAGCCATAGATCTTACAGTCAAGAATACTCTTCATTTGATTTGAATTTTGATCAGTACACATTGTACACAACAAGGTTGTAAATCAGGTGTGGATGAAATAGAGCCCACAAAAGAAATCAGTGAGGCCCTTGACTTTGTTCAAATATTAACAATAATTTTAGTGCAATGCCTGCTGAAGTTCCAATATGTAATCTGAAATGATAAGAAGTCCAATAAGAGGGGTTATAAATAAATAACATCTGAGACCACACTAATCTTTGTTACTCAGACATAGGAGTCAAAACAAAGAAGGTGTATTGGACCAACTCCCTATTCCCGATGTTATCGTAAGAGGGAAACATCTGCATCAGCTGAATCTTGCGGGGAAGAAATCAAGGATGCATTTGACCCATAAGTGTGCACCTTGGTTTTAATCTCATCATGATGCTGAAAATATTTGCCTTCAAAATGCTTCATCGGTGGTCCAAAGATGTCAAAGTCATTGGGGACAAGTTCCGTGTTGTACGGCGGATAAATAAAACATTCTGAGAAGTAGCGTTGTGGCAGGCCTGTAAATGGACTGTCACATTCTCTCTGAGCAAGTCCAGACATTTCCTTCACAAAGCTTTCTTCAGGTGGTGCAGCAGTGGTCTGCTTTCACTGTTGTCTCATGGTCCAGCAACTGGAGGAGGAGAAAACCTTGTGCATCCCCAAAATCCTATCATCATCATCCCCACAGACTGTATGGTCTTGAATTTCTTTATCACAGGAAGTGTGATATGTTTACACTCCACTGATGCTCCCTCTGCTGTAAAGATGAAGCGAAAAACCCACATTTCATCCCCAGTGATGATGTGGCTGAGCAACTCAAAATTTCCCCTTTTGCAGACTTAGAGCACTATGAAATTAAAATTCCTGGCAGATTAAAAAGGCATTTTAGCAGGTGGAAGTGTAATAAAGCTTCATCTACAAGGTATAAACTTTTCTGAAAGAAATACTAGTAAATATTTCACAATTCCATTACCTCTAGATTCCATTCATTATTATATGACAACCTTCATCTTATAAATTAAAATATCGTAACTGCCTAAAACTCACTAAAGGAAACCAACTGTGCAAGAAAGTGCAGCAATTATGCGAATAAATACGTACGTAGTTCAATTTTTTTTTGGTAGATTCTAGAATCTCATATAGTTCTTTAAAACTTTGGCCATTTTGTCATATTTGCCGGCTTAGATGTTGTAAATTTCAAATGCATTATGACATTTAAAGAATGAGCTTAGAGCCAAACAGAGCCTACTATTTAACATGTGATACACTCGCCATTATGCCCTGCCCTGGGCTCCAACTCCTCTTTGGTAGGATTTTGTAGATTACCATTAACATAAATGTTATTTTTCCCTTATTAACAATCTCAGTTCTGGATATATTACACTGTTTTCATTGCTTGTCTTAATTTCTGCTTCTTCTGTCATGTTATCATTTGCAAAATACTTATTTTTCTTGTCATGATTTAATTTATTTCTTTAGCAATTTATCAATGCAAATTATCTTAACAGTTTTATACTTCCTACATAACTAATATGAAGAATATTATTAAATTATTAATAACAGTGAACATTGCACAAATACTGGTGGCATTTCTGGGAGGGATTCGGCTTCATTTTAAAAATGAGGAGATGAAAGTATGTTACCAGATTTCTAAACATTCCATTAATATTTAAAAATGAACTTCTATAACCACAAAAGTATATGCTGTATATAAACACCACAAGTAAAGAATTAGTATCTCAATATTTACTATATTCTCACCATCAATACAACTATTTATCATGTAATATAATCTCATCCTCAACTCGAGAAATGTTCTAACGTCTGTTAAGAATAGATATGGATGCGAGGCATGCGAGTTTGATATAATTCTACACTCCAACATACGTCAGTAGAGTGTTTGTCTCTGGCCAGTCCTTGCAGTACCTCTGATGGTCTTCATCATGGACCATAAGAGAACAGTCATTCAGTCTTCACCGCAGGTGCTTGTGGTCCACCAGCAGCTCCCCCAGCTCCAACAAAGCTATGAGGTGATGATGTTACTAATGAGATAGGATTCCCTATTGCTGACAAAGGTCCCCCAGCTAAAGAGTTGGCAATAGAAGCAAACATGCTAGAAGAATTAGGACCAGCCACAGAACAGATTGTTGGACTTCCCATTGCAGCACTTGGAGGGTTGATTCTCTTTTCCTTTTGGCGTCTGGAAATGAGTCAGAGAAAATAATTAAACAAACAGCAGTGGGTTCGAAGACAGTGGGAGGCTTGATTTGGTAGAATAAATTTATGTTTATTAAAATTTACTTCCATGACCTCTACGTAGACACACGTGTAACAACAAATACTGAATCCCCAGTATGTTTGAACATGAGAAATATTCTCCTGCAGACAGAAGTGGGTCTGTAGAATTCAAATATCACACAACCACGGGCTGGAATACATATCGATATGTCAAGGAGGCCTACGGTCCTCGCAATTTCTAAATCTGGAAGATATGCAGGTTCGCGGATTATGTGCGTTATTACTGCTGTGGTCTGTATTGAAAGGTAAAGTTATCCTTGCGCTTGAGAACCACATCACGTACAGTTCACAACCGTAATCTTGAGACTTGCAAAGTATGCAGGAATTTGGAAGGGGAAAAGGCATGGCAGACAGCATGGATCTGCAACTATTACCTGAGCAAAAAACATTTACTACTTATTGCATAATGGCACTACACAAGCATACATACTAGTGGCTAATATGTTCTGAACTGATGCTATGCGGACACCACAACTCCATACTTTTCTAGTGGCTAATATGTTCTGAACTGATGTTATGCGGACACCACAACTCCATACATTTTCCCTTCACCCTGCAAGTCTCAAGATTACAGACACAAACTGTACATGTATGGTGAAGTGGAGTTAAAGCTCCATACAACATCAACCTCAGAACTAGATACAAAGTCAGCATCCAGGTCTACACTATGGACCTTTCATTACTCACTGGAGTAAAATTCTATGTGGATCTCACAGCTGGTCCGGACTCATGCAAAGACAAAAATTCCAGTCCCTGCCCATTCATACAGTTCACTTCAACTTAAGATATTTCAAATCATATCATAATTTTTTCTGACTGGTTTTACTGATTACTTTTCTATATGAACACATAGTTACTGATTCTTTCATTCCCTAGCAAACGTATTCTGGCCCTTACACCACCAACATAATACGACTGCACGAGAAAGCACTGATGATCCTTTAAAGGGCAGAATGCACTTTTCATAAAGCAAAAGAATCAGTGACCAAGAACTGATGTTATTTCATGTAAATATACTTAATCTTTGTGATGCAGTGGTACAAGGCCGCATTCATACAAAGGGCTATTTCATGAACAAAGAAAGGAGAAGATCAATTTCCTTTTCAATCGGAGACTACAGAACATGTCAAATATGACATAAACATACCTGTTGCAGAACCAAACCCGGACCACTTCTTTCTCCATGGTAAGGCTCTCGGCTAGCACTGCTATCTCTTCAGATGTGGGTTTGGGATTCTGAAGGAATGCTTTCTCCAATGCTATTCTTACACTGGTCTCAATAGACGTTCTCTTCTTTCGACGTCTCCCTATGGCTTCGGGCGTTGTTAGGGGATTAGTCAAGGAATTTGGATTGTTAAGGGAGTTGTCAGCATCTTCAAGCCATTTCTGAAGTAGGGGCTTTAGCTTACACATGTTCTTAAAGGACAGGTTCAGAGCTTCAAACCTTGAGATAGTAGTCTGTGAAAAGTCATTCCCATAGAGTTTTCCCATAGCAAGTCCAACATCGCCTTGCGTAAAACCCAGCTTGATCCTACGCTGCTTGAATGTCTTTGCAAACTGTTCTAGCTCTTCCAGGTCTGTGGTTTCTTCTGGCGACGGTTCTAACATCCGTGACTGAGGGGTTCTGATGTGATGATGTGGCACTCCAGCTGGTCCTGATGGAGGTAGCTGTGACTGATGATTATGATGATTTACACTGTTATGATGGTGTGTGAGAGCTGAGTGATGGTGAGAATGGTGATTAGAGGGACTGCTGTGGTGATTCTGATGTGTGCTGTTCTGTTGTTGCTGCTTTGTAAGCTGTTGCAACTGTTGAGCTGCTTGCACAACAGCTTGCTGTACCTGTAACGAGATCCACGTCACAACTTTATTTGTTTACTGAGGCTTTACAAAGCATTATGACGGTTTAACATTTATTAGACATAGTTATGGTTTATGCATGATCCAGCTGGCCATGTGTCGAAGTACTAGACCATCAACCATCAAACCCTGGAGATGAAATCTGGCCAGCATCCTCATACTACAGATTTAAATACCCTGCCACTATATGATAACAATTCAGGGACTATTCAGAGCTTGGGTTAGTGTCCATGGCTCACTGCCCAATAAAAGTATATAAACGTTAATATAAAATAAAGAGATAAACGACAAAGAATGTGTGCATGCATTTGTGGAGCTCAATGCAAGAATCAGCAAGTAATTTAAACTAAAGTTACCAAACATACTGTAAAAGAGCAGATCAGAGTGGTTTGTTTATGTTATATGAATGGAAAATAACAGACTGCCAAGAACAGCTACACGTACTAGAAAAACAAGATGGTCCATTGGGAGCAAAAACAAAGTGGGGAGATGAAGTGCAAGTCACCATGCAAAATAGAAACATGGACAATCTTCAGATTGTGGTCTTAAGGAGCTGTGTCACATAATCTTGCTGGAACATACAAACGTTTTGGAGAAACATGCTTGCTCCATTTTCAGGGTTGACAGGGACTATTTAAGAGTTCAGGTTGCTATTCGTAGACCAATGCTTCAACTCTGGCAATGGAGACATGTTTCTTCAAAACTCTGGTATACAACCACTTCATAGCGCATCAACCCAGAAGATCATATCTGAACTCATACAAAAGCAGATACCTCAAATCCTACAATCCTACATTCTTGGATGATGATGATGATGAAATCTGTTTCTCAATTAAGTCTAGTTAATCAGGACAAGACTTCCCCCTTTGGAAGGAATTTTTTACAACTATGATGACTTGAACTGAAATAAATCTCACACCAATACAATACAAAGAGACTCTCTTACATAGTTAAGTATATTTCCAAAAATACGGGCATAAATAATAAGGGAACAGATTGGTAAAACTTGAAGTTTACAATTATGAAGATGACTGTCTTTCAGGATGTTGCACCACGTGGTCTGGTAGAAAATGACTGATGTCTCAGAGGTACTTACTGGCTCCATCATCAGGGGATGCAGCAAATGCCCCAATGATGAAGGGAGTAAGCAGCTCTGGAGAGACAGACTGTGACTTTTGTCTCAAGCATAAATATACAAAGCGAAAAGTTGTACAGCTCATGACAGATATAAAGGATTTTCTATAATTCATTTTACCTCCCAGAGCACTGGAAGAGACATTCTCCCTCTTTGCAGCACAATTTTTTCTGGATTGGTTCCTGCAGTTTATGCTTCCTATCTGAAAAACCTGATCAGTGAGATGGCAAGCCGTTTGTTTTGAAGCACAAATTCTGAAAATAATCTCACAGTGGTGTGGGTAAACCAATTTTGAAATACTGTTCAACAAAAGGCATGAGCAGATCCCTGAATTTTGTAGAATTTAATGCTAGTGGTTCTGTTTGTGTTTAATAAGGAAAACTGTTACCCTTATTGGTAATTAGATTATAATTAATGAAGACATTATCAGCACCACACTATCTAACTGCAGACAGCCTTCTCAAGTCCTACACAAATAGTGGTTAAGGATAATCCACTGGCAATAAGCTGTTTACTTCCAAGTTACAGGCATCTAAACTACAATGCAATACTAAAACTTTGCATTTTAATTAGCATTCCATCTATGAATAGATCACTGAATCACTAGAAACATGGACATGCATTGATTTGCTTTGTTCTGCTGGATTAATGTTACAACAGCATACATGAAACTGAAATATGTACCATAAATGTTACTTCTAAGCACCTAGAAAGGGTCTAATGCACTCTTCTAATACACTGCCTATTAAAGTATACAGCAATACAGTTTATTTAAATCGACTGGGATGCTAGTGTAATTAAATGTTGCAGAAAATAGTATTAAAAATATATTAAAATTAGCCGTCAATCACAATATAATATAATTAAAAGATTAAAATATCATTTTACGTTCCCTATCGAGTACTCGATTTACATGTGGAACATACACGACATGTTTCGGCTATATATAGCCATCATCAGGTGATATGTATATAAACTTTTCACTGAATTACTGATTTTTAATGATTTTTAGTTTTCATTTTTCTTATCATGTTCTTGTCCTTTATATTGTTTCTTCATTCGTTGTAGTATCACAGGTCACTAATATGTTCCACATGTAAATCGAGTACTCGATAGGGAACGCAAAATGATATTTTAATCTTTTAATTATCTTATATTGTGATTGACGGCTAATTTTAATATATTTTTAATACTATTTAAATAAATCACAATATGACGCATCTACAATATCTTAGAAGTTGCAGAAAATGTTCAAGAAACAAGGAAATAGGATTTAAATACTGTCAAACCACAGACTTCAGTTAGTGTTTGGAATTACACCTCTGACAGACATCATGCAAGGTGATACCTCATAAGGAATTTTCAGTAAAGATGTTGGAAGATACAAAAAAGTCTTCACAATGGTGACTTAAACCTCCCACAAATCATTCTTGAATAATCTGTGGGTGAGTTTGCCCCCACATGAACTGCGATTCCTTCCTCATTCCCACAGTTAACCAACGTAGGGGGTTATGCAGATACGAGTAACCTTATTTCTTCGCGTCTCCCCAAGAAACAGCAACTCTGCCTCTATGCACACGCAACTTACACATAAATTTCCTTTTTATATTTCAATATTTATGTTTAAGTTTACTTGCGTTTCAGAGGTGTATGCTGCCTCTGAAATCTCAGTAAACTTCTATCAGACTACGTTGCAGTACAACTCAGAAGATGACCACTCTCACTCTCACTGCTGTGAGAACTTCGGATTCTACTTATCCTCAAATAATTTCTGTGCGTTAACTGTTTGTCATATATATCACATGCTAAAGTTCCAAAAATGGTGTTCCAAATAGTGCTTAATCTTTTGAGATATACTGATGAACCCACATACTATTCAAGAACATATTTTGTATTGAGTGGTAAAATGTGGGACGTATATTCTTAAGGTATATGGAAACTCGTGACCTGCAACCTGTCACCTAAACTGTTTCAGACGTCATGATTTTAAATATTTTTATGTAGAACTGGATAAGAACATTTCTGAATGATGTATTGGAAAGAATATTTTCAAAAATGTTGTTGTGCAAGACTGACCTACTAGGGTTATACACGCCAGCAAATGCCACGGCTGTCCTTTTTCCTTCATCTTATGTCTTATTCTACGCCCTCATTTCTGATTATGACCATACTCCATTACAATGCTTTTACGAAGCGTGCATACAGTCAAACGAGCAACTGCTTCTTAGACAATTAATGCACAGCACTCATTGTGGTAGCACTGCATTACCACGAGAACACTTGAAAGAAGACCAGCATAAGAGACTTTAATAGACTCCTTCCAGTAATTTATTTGGCACACTTTTGTCTTTTAGTGTGTCAGATAATGTGGGTTGCATTATACTGTCATATGAAAAAAGAGTAAAGCTGTCCCACTATGCACCATGTAGGCGCTTGGGGGAGACTGTATAGCTCCTACTCATTCTTAACCTCGGCACTAGATGGGGGTGAGTGGTGAGCATCACGCCTCGGCCGCGCTTTACCCCCGGGAAAGGACCCCGGTACCCATTGGATAGGAGGCTGGGTGGACCCCAGAGCCGGTCTGGACGCAGAGGCTAGAAGAAAATATAATTTGCCTCTGTAAGGCATTGAAACCCCAGCCATCAAATCCATAGTCAGTCACTATACTGACTGATTAAATGCTCTTTCACAATCCAAAAATGGTGTCTATAAATCACGTTCTCTTCTTTTATCGGTCAATAGCTTAAGTCAAACTACCAGTTCATTGCATTAATGATTTCACTGGAAGTAATTTTCGGCTTCAGCTACACGCTGTTCAGAGCAAATTTTTGTTATTGTTTTTAATATATTCTGTACCATGTGTTCATTAAGCCTACTCTTTTACAACTTTTTTAATATTTCTGTCTTTATTGAGTAACCTACTGCAGACAGACATGTACACTATGCACATGGGCTGTGTAGTACACGGCGCACATGTTCACATGTAGCTTTACAAATTACTAGCGTTCTTCCACATTATTAGGCTTATGGTAATTTCTTTTATTGTTTAACCATCTAGGCTTTCATACCTACCAAATCATGATCTGTTCCAATGTCATCTCCTCTGACATCTTGTATTAATTTTTAGATGTTAACTTTTACTTTTTACTGTTCATTATTAAAATATTATGTGTACAGAAGTCAGCTGTCTTTTTTACCAGTATTATTAATTGTCATTCTCCATTATTCCCCAACTTACTAACTAACTAACTAACTAACTTAACTAGATGGTTTACGGAACCCAAAGGTTCATCACCGAATTAACCAAAGCCCTCCACCGGACCCTGTCCTGGGCCAACAAAATCCAGTTTCCTTCAACTCCTATCTCCCGTAGATCCCGCCTGAGATTATCCTCCGATCTACGTCTAGGTCTCCCCAGCGGTCCCTTCCCCTCAGGCTTCCCAAATAGTGGACCCACCCAACCAGATGGCTTACCGAACCCGCAGGTTCATCACCGAATTAACCAAAGCCCTCCACCGGACCCTGTCCTGGGCCAACAAAATCCAGTTTCCTTCAACTCCTATCTCCCATAGATCCCGCCTGAGTTTATCCTCCCATCTACGTCTAGGTCTCCCCAGAGGTCATTATTCCCCAACTCCAGCAGTAATTTGTCTACTTATTTATTAACGGCTATCGGAAGAACTCCAGTGGCCTTGAAATATCTTTATTACACAATTCTTGCTAAGGAAGAGGAATGAGGAGGAATTACTTGTTTATAATTTATTTAATGACACTTTTTCAGTGGGTCAGATTATACAGTGTCAAATGAGAGGATGAAAGTGAATAATGAATTAGAAAATGATGTGAA